ATCCTTATAGGATATCTACTGTCCATGGGCAATGTCCCTACCCAATAAAATAAACCAGGACTAAGTCCCTCTCAAGTTATGGTATAAACAATATTAACAGGCCGTTGTACGTACAAAAAGACCAATTCTATCATAGAATTGTCCCAACAAAGGACTATAACTTAGTCAAAATTAATGTCTGATTTATGGGCCTTATGATTCTAAATACATGTATCAAGTTCAAAGTGAACACTTCAGTATTTTCAAAGATTAATGTTGCACGTAAATCTTTAAACAGAAATTTTCTAAGTTTAAAAAATCATGGTGTAATCTGATTGGTTAATTATCTCGTCTGCACGACTTAGTTATCTCGTTCCCACGACTTAAACGACTTAGTAACTCGTGGCCGTGACATAGTATCTCGTGGCTACGATATAGTATCTCGTTCCCACGACTTAACTATCTCGTGGCCACGACTTAGTAACTGGTGGCCACGACTTAGTACAGTACAAACTTGATATTTTCTTCTTTTTTTTTCTTTTTTTTTTAAATAAAATAAATATAATTTGGCTTCACACAAATATTGTGCTTTAAATCCTTTACACTGTAAGTGGGCAGTATGAATATACATGTATAGTGTTATTACAAAAAAATATATGGAAGTTTCTTTTGAAGACAGGCACAACTTTACTTGACTCGTAATAAGGAAAGCACAAGCAGCAGCTTCCTATACATTGTGTGTTTTTATTTAAATAAAACATATTTAGTAATAATTTTATAGATTTCAATAAATTTCTGTGATGAAAATATATTACTGAAAGATGTGCATAGTATATCTTTAAGCACAAATGTATGTGAATGTGGTGGTGTGTGCGGGATGTCTGATCTATAATCAGACACACATATGCCCAACATTTGTAATTGACTATGCACATGTTACAAAAATAAACAACTTCCTTCTTTCCTTATTATACATGTATATTTTAATGTGTTACATACCTATTCGCCACTATTAGTGACTCTGAGACATTTATTAAGTTAAAAGGCCAATAAATTTTGCTTTTTAATGTCCAAGCCATTAGATAAAGACCTTCGCAGTTCCTAGGCAGGTGCTTAACAACTGGATGACAGCATTATATGTTTTGGTAAGGGAGTACACTATGACCAATATTGCATGAAACTGACACGTATATATTCCATCCCAGCTCATGGACGTATCTTTGGAATGAGCTGGGGGTAGGTGCAGCCCTTAAGCCATGGCCGTGGCCAGAATCCGCCACTGTACGTATAACTGCCCCATTGAATAACTGTTTACGAGCATATTTTTTCTATTATACTGTATACATATACATTGTATAAAATTATATTGCATAATCCTTTACTACTTGTATTTATATTCTTTCCACTGCAATTTATGTATTAAGTGCTTGGTACGTATTTATATATACATGTACGCAGTATCCATACGGAAAATTCCGATGATAGGCGAATCGTGGAAAAAATCCGTTGATATCGATAACAGAGTTCTCGCCCCTTAACAGTTCACAAATCGCTAGACATTGTTTAAATTGTTTATCATAATGTAAGATGATCAAACATAATCCACAAAGCCTCAGACACCGAGCTTTATTAAGCATAAACACTGAATAATGGATATAAGAGAAAGCTAATAGTAATCACGCCATGCGAGCTATAAATGAAATAAGTCACATTTTAACAAAACCCATCAGGGAACAAAAAAATAGTCAATTTTAAATGACTTCTAAATAAAAGTAATACAAAAAAAAATAAACCGTAAATGGTTTGTATAGAGCATGAAGAAAGGTAGCTTATACATAAAAGTATATGACGATAAATGGCTTGTTCCAGTTTAATAGTTATCACTCAATGAAAGAATTGGTCACTACGAAAGTTTGAATGAAATAATGAAAAATGGAATCCAGCATAATGCAAAGTTTAAATGTCATAAAGCAAGATGTAATAAAGCATAATGCAAGTTCTAATGTCATGTAGCAAGATGGAATTAAGCATGATGCAAGTTCCAATGTCATCAAGCAAGATGGAGTCAAGCATAATGCAAGTTCCAATGTCATCAAGCAAGATGGAATTAAGCATAATGCAAGTTCCAATGTCATCAAGCAAGATAGAATAAATGCATTGATTCTGTTCCATGAATAAGCCATTTCCAAATTGCTATTGACAAGGAGGCTTATTTCCAATAATATGTTTTAAATTGGTTTATATACTACAAAAGTAAAGCGAACCAAGCGGGTATCATTTCACGTCTTTTTTAAGTTCGCTTTGAAATTCTAAAAAGATCATCTTTAATTTATTGGAAATTTTTGAGTTCACATTCTTTTTCTACTTTTCATTCATTGAATATGATAAAATTATTTCATTTTTGCAGAACATGAATGTTTCAAAATTAAAGATGGGAGATAACTTCACACTTTGTTTGCAAATATTATCCCGGGGGGCATTTTTGTCACAAAATACGCATTTTATTTCTATATTCGACTTATCCTACTTTAAATAGAAGTGATTGCCTGCAAGAAAAAAATATTGAGCAGTCGACATTGCTGACACTGGTAAGAACTTCCATTTCTTTTTGGCACTGGGAATATCATAAGGGAAGTGTCAAAAGTTAGTCAGCCATAAGTGCAGAGTCGGTTTATTTGCCTGGCTATACCGTATACATGTATTTCATTACGGTTCCACAACAGTTAAACAGTTGTAATATTAACACAATCGCTTTTGATATAAGCTCAAAGTTTTAACAAATTATATTATACAGTTTTCAATCTACCTTATGTATATGTAACTGTAGTATATGCCTTTAAACTTTCATTTGTTATATATTCTCAAGATGGAAAAGTGACAAATGAAGAAACAATTTTTAATGACACTCAGTCAACGCAACTTCAAATCACGAAGTCGTTCAATTCAATGTCATTTCACATTACATGAAAATATAAAAATATCCCTACGTATTTGAACAGAAAGTGACACATAGGAAAATGTGGTCGTAGTGAATCTTGTTTTGTCCTGTAACTGCGTGTCAATACAAAGCTTTTTGTATGAAACTTTCGTTCGCTTCCTGTCATGAGAAAAATATTACAAACATGATATTTTATAGTCTCAAATGTTAATAAAGGTACGATACGTATAATAGAAAAATAATATAAAAAGTGAGCGTGATTTCTATAAGAATGAGCAAAATTTGTAAAAATCTGTAATCTAATTGTGGCAAACTAATGATACATTCAGCATTATGTAGACCTGTCATACCGATAAAACCGCAGGCAAACATACTTGAAGGTGAAAAGCCGACACAAAATACAAAAATTATGATCTATATGAACTTCAAATATATTTAGATACATCTCAAGCTGGTGTCATACCTCGAATCCACGGCATCTGGGTTGCTAAATAAAAAATATTTGTTGGCATATTTGGGCATATAATTAAAGTACTCATTTACAGAAGAATGATGAAGAAGAGGATTTCATTAAAATTTTGTATTCCCTTTAATACATATCTGTGTTTATGGACACCAAACATTGACAATTAATCTATACTATTTTTGTTTAATGAAATGTTTCTGGTGATAGAGATGGACATGTCCCACACTACAAAACACTTCAAAATTAATAAATTATTTAAAAAAAAAAAAAGCAGAGATAGATTTATACTTTTTCAATGAAATTGAGACTGACAAGTCGAATAATGTGTGAACATAATAAATTTCTATAATAAATACTTTTTTGAGAAATCACCATGTTAGCCAAGACCCAAAGTATGAAAGAAACAGAGCAGCTGCAATCATCTGGTACACACATATTTTTTTTTTAATTTACACTATTAATAGTTTGAGAACGGTGACCCCAATTTTGTTTGGTTAAAGTGTGTCTGTTTTCATATTCTAACGACATGCCAAGTATAAAGCAATTCTATTGAACAGTTTTAATTTTGCCTATATGTCTATATCAAAACTCCCGAAAACGTCCTTAATATATATGTGTCAACATGATTATTTTACAAAAAATCGACACCCTGTACAAGATGGCGAACGGAATGGTAGACTGCTAAATGCCGTTACAACCGCATCTGCCGTAAAATTAAACCATCGAGAATTACTTCCCTTGTAATGTGTTCTTAAACAGTATTATACTTAATGTACGATCTCACTGACAACTGTTTATACTCTATTTTGTTTTACTTATTCCAAAACGCTCACAATGTCCAAATGACAAATGTTTTTGTTTTGTTGCTGTTGTTGTTGCTGTTTTTTTTTAAATGTTTTTGTTGTTGTTATGGGGTTTTTTCTTTCTTTTTTTTTAAATTCTGGTTTTAATACAATTTGTTGGAAAATTTGCATGAATAAAAAAAGAATTAAGCAGCGCGCCTCCAGATTCAGGCAAATTTCCATGAAATTTTTAAAAAAATTGTATTAAGATTTAAAAGTTAAATGCTGAGAAAAGAACAAAAATACTTTACACTTTGAAAACGATACTTAAAATCCACGTAAATTACAAAAAAAAGTCAAAAAATGCAGACAGCAGTCCTTAATGCGTTAGTCACGCTTTAGAAATATGATGGTAAATACTGCAAAATCATTCATTAATCGCATATAACACGTAAATTATTACTTGAATCTTGAATAATATTTTTTTATTTAGTAAATTTTTCAAGTTTACTTTTCTTAAAATTTTTTGACTTGTCTTTGGACGTGCAGCTTTAATGTGGATGTTTAACGATACAAAAAATGAATTAAAGCTCTAATCGACTTTTCCCTTTTAGTACTCTATAACCTACATAACATAATACTTACAACATAAAAACATCGACAACAGAAAAAGTTCAGTATTTCAGGAAATTCTGATTTTCTGGAGTTTTTGTGATTCTGATAATCAAAGTGTGTATAGACTGATATAACTAGTATATGTATGCAAGTCCAAACCAAACACTGTTATATTACTTTACACATAAGTTCACAAAATAACATAACAACTTATCAGATCCTTTGAAAATGGTGTTTTTTATTTTCCTTTTTTGATCTATTAAAGTAATTATCACAGATTTCATAGGACATTTCAGGACTAAAAGTTTGTTTTGCAAATGATTTAACCTTGATCCGAACAAAGAACGAACGATAAAGGTTATATCTCGCAAATTAATTAATTAATTTAAAACTAGAAGACAATATGTTTGACTTCCAACAATGGTTGATCTTGTGTGCGAAATCGAAAACTCACTTCAAGATTCAACAGATGGAGTATTTAGATTAGTAATATTCGCTGAAAAACATGGTGACCTTTGTATAAGTACAACCTCTGCAAAGCGGCCCTTTGTTAAGAAGTAAACTCCTTTTAGCAGAAAACATTTCTTTCCAAAATAAGTCATCACAATAAATCTAACTCTAGAGCAACGAGTCGTAGAAACAACTTGCATATTTGTCTACAAAAAAATGTTGCTCTTCAGAAGTTGTACTTTATTCAGAAATTTTAAAACTTTCATCTAGAGTTAGTTTATTTTTTATGTTTTGCCTGGTGAAAATTAAAATCATATACAAATGTAATTATAGTTTTTGACGAGATATTCATAGTCTTATTAGTAAACGCTATCGAAAGAGTCGTTGGATTCAAAAGTATTTGAAAATTTCGCGAGTGCCAGCATCGACGTCACGTATGTGTATGGTTCCGAACTCCAGAACGGCCAATAATCTGGGTAGTTGTTGTAACCATGGAAATCTATCGGACTTTTACGACCAAACCATTTTTTCTTCAATAAATCTTGGTACTCTTCTTCAGAAACCACGCCTTCAAATACAAGCCTGGTGTGGCGATAATCGTGACTTGATTCATTAAGAGCGTTCATTGGGTAAGAAGGGTACGTCTGAAATATAGGAATTAAACTGTAGGTCATACACACTTACTGTCCCCTTTTAGGTCAAATTACATTAGCAAGCATAGCTATGGGAAACAACTCTAAGAATATTGTTCTTATTGCTTTACCACAGTTATCCTTTTTTATTAACTATTTTTCGATCGGCATAATTTATGATAAATCCCACATTCCTATTACTTGAGACTTACAACAATTTTTAATGAGGACGACTAAGGGGGAATAAACAGACAGTTCATAACTTGCAATTACATTTTTATTCTCCCTCGACGAACTTTCAAATCATTTACTTTGACCAATGGGCACGTTCTTCATTAATATTACAATTGAGAGGGTTTTACAACTGAAATATTATTCAGAAAATAAGAAAGGAAAACAAAATGAAAAGTGTAAATGAGTTGTCACGACGTACCGTTTCTCCTTTCACAGACCCCGAAAAGAAAGCATTCCACGGTTGATACCTCAATCCGAACATATTATTCTGAAGGAACATAGCTGACTTAGATACAACGTCTTTTACACTCTGTGGGGTACCTAGAACATACATATCATGGTAAAAGACTTTTGAACCTCCGACATGGAGTCTAATGGTTATTTGATTAAAGCATAATGAATAATATGGGATTAGCTGTCGGTTACTTGCAAAGAAAATGGTAAATAATTGTTTGCTATCCAGGAAAAACGGTCATGTTGATCGATAGAAGGGATATGACCAAATATTGTTAAAGCAGCATGTCTCCGGATTCGTGGTAATTTGTTTCATGAAAATTTTGAAAATGTTTTTAAAAAGTAAAAAACAATATATTGTGAAATGAAAAAAGAAGTCATTTTACACATTGCAAACGGCACCTAAAGTCCACGTAAATTACAAGTAAGAGGTCAAAATACGCCAAAATAGCCCTTACTGCAAACTCAGTACTCGGATAAAACGCGCAATTATTACTTAAAATTTCATTCTTTTTTATTTCTTAAAATCGTGTTACATTTTTCTCAATTTTGATTTTCTTGAATATTTTGCCTCATGTGAAGGCACACAGCTTTAAAAACCAGCCTTTAAAAAAACTACACAAAAAAGCAACAACAAACAGAAAATCAAAGCGCCACAGTTTTTTTGCAAGGTAAAAAACTAAAAAGATAACCAATGCATTCACAGAGGGCACATATTAGCCATCGAGCTAAGTGAATAAGTGCATATGATTTAAAGGATTGTGGCGAAAGAGTTAGAAGCAAAACATTCTACTTTGCAGTAGGCCTTATAATTGATTTTAGGGCAATAACTTCATATGTACTGTTTAAATTCTCGGTACAGAATACTTTCTTATACTGTTTTTCAACCAACCTTTCTCCCAGTACAACTTTCTTGAAACTTCATCAAATGTCGTCCACGTGCTAAGTAGAGCGTTCATGGCCATTCCTGTCGTAAAAAGACGATCTTGTCCTCGTACCTTTAAACATTAATACATTCTTATATTGCAGAGTCACTTCCATATAAAGAATCATATAATAAAAACTATTTGTCACAAATGGAAATGCATTCTGCACGCTTTGTTAAGGTAATAGATACCAATTTTAAATGCATTGTTGAAGCATAATGCAAGGTTCGAGTTCAAATGCGCAGGAATATAATCACGAATTTCCATTCTGATATGTTAATAAAAAAGAGAGATTTCTAAAAATATGTTGAACTACATTGAGCGCAGAAGTATTTTTCCTGACGTCATTAGGTTTATTGACGTCGTATATGACACCATATGACGTTAAATGATTTCCAGTTGACGTTGTTTGTTCATCATAGCAATACTGGCGCTCGCTCACTTAATTACTATAACTCTCGAAGAGTAACGAAAAATGCCTCGATCTTAGGCAAAGAGTGTACAATTTTAAGTTTTCTTACAATTAAATTAGACAAAAATCAAATATCAGAGGGTAAATTTCCGAGAATACAATGTCCTAGTGTACTGCTGACTTTGTGATCAAAGTGATTATATTATCAACATATAAAAATTTGAGCTTCTAACATCACATAGTCTAGTCAAGCTGCATGGATGTTCAGGCCAGCTCGCCATTTATATACCGGTGACAAATGCTCAACACATTTGGGCACATCAGGCTCAAAACTACTAAATAATTTCATGGCAGTTTACAACCACACAGTTTTATCAATATTTTGATATTATACATTTTTTTAGCTTTTTAATTTATTTTTCATTATTTTTAATACTTTTGATATTTTTTTGATAAACTATAACAAACGTAGGTGCGAAAAGTTCAGAATAAAACAGAAAGAGAAAAATGACGTTAGATTTTCTATGTAACGGTCGTTATTTACATTTGAATTTCAACGTTACGTTATGTGACTTTCATCATCAGTGATTATAATTCTGCCAAGGGAAGTAATCACTAAGAGGTTAGCAGTTTATTAAAAATAAATGGAAAACAAAAACTTACTATGGTGTTGTTTTTTAAATCTAAATCTCCATCGCCAACAAAATCGTCAAAATACATACTGCCGTCACTGTCAGTTTTTGATTGGTTGAGAACCGCTGACGTCATATGCACGTGCAATGATACATCCAGTTTTTCTTTAACTTGTTTCAGAATCTAATTAAAATAAAATTTGCAAAAGAAAGGTTAAAACTAAAGAAAATTTTACAATTAGTTAACAACTATAATCTGTAGATATTTTCAATAGAAAAAGTCACAGTTTTAATGATTTTTTAAAGTGTTTCACAACTGCAGAGATTTTTTTAAAACAACAACAACTTATAACTATTAAGAAATTCCACAAAATACGTCACAGCTATAAAGAAATTTAAAAAAATAAGCTATTGCTTGAGATGTTAACTAAATAGGTCACATCTATAGAGATATAAACAAAAAGTATAGGCCACAGCTATACAGAATTCTAACACAATAGGTCACAGTTTTAGAGAATTTTTAAAAAAAAATGCCATATCTTTAAATAAATTCTAAACAAAATATTGATAACATTTGTAGTGAATTTTAACACAATCAGTCAAACCAACAAAAATTTAACAAAATAGTCACCGCCAGGGAGAAGTTAAAAATAGATACTTACTGGATGTGGTAATGGGCCCTGGTTCTCTTTTCTCCTAATCTCGCCGAATGTCCGAGCCACAAACCAGTAGAACTCTATAGCGGAGGGATAATACAGAAGTGCCAGATCATGTCGGGAGCTGAAGTTTGTCTCTATCATAAATGCAATCAAATTTGATGTGTTGACGTAAATTTGCTGAAATTTAAGAACCAATAAATATATATAAGACCTATTATCAGCTAAATCATGCAAAAGTAAGAACATGTGCATGTTAGAATAATAAAGTCAATCCGTGTCTTTCTCCATAAGTTCTAGAAAGAAGAGGTTCGAGCATGGTTCAAGTATGCTCTTTAAGGTTTCAACACTTCAATGGTAAAATAAATACTTTTTCTAACTTAACTGAATTGTCCCGTATTGGTGACATAATATGTTTTTATTATATTTTTTTCTGCAAGGCGTTATTATTTCTTTAATCAAACGTGCCTTTGGTAAAGATTGGCATAGGTGTTTAATCTTTAGCTGGACAACACAATTTTGAAGAATAATTAGTCACTGCATGCTTACAAATTGGCTTCAAATATAAATTAATCGTTCAAACCTGTATTTCTGGATCATCTAGGATCTTGGCATCAACAACACCATTCAAGATGGAGGTGGTAGTCCCAAACACGCCATTGGCCGCCACAGTTACATCAATATTATTTGCATTTAAAGGCATTTTAACACCACGTTCTCCCCAGGTTTTCAATTCGTCGGAATCCTGAATCTGTAAAACAACTTATATAGTTTTATTATTATTATTATTATTATTATTATTATTATTATTATTATTATTATTATTATTATTATCATCATCATCATTATTATTATAATTGTTATCATCATCATTATTATTATTATATTTATTATTATGATGATCATCATCATTATTAACATCATCATCATCATTATCATCATCATCATCATTATTAACATCATCATCATCATCATTATTAACATCATCATCATCATTATCATCATCATCATCATCATTATTAACATCAACATCATCATCATCATCATTATTATTATATAGTCTGAATTTTAGCGGTCACATATGCAAGAAGTAAATCATTGTGAAACATGTTGATTTTCCACGGCATAAACACGTTGTACTTTTTGAACTGAAGAAAGGGGGGGGGGGAATGGACGTGAATACATATTAACACTTGACATGAAACAACGAAGAGAAACATAGCTATCATACCCAAGTAGGGACTAGAGCAATATCTTCCCCATTATTTTTTGCATTTTCAAGGAAAAATCTCAAGTAGAAATACGTCCGTCCATCTATAGAATTAATCGCTTTGTTGGATGACATCGGTCTATAAGCGTATTTCTTCAGTGCGTCGAAAACGGAAGAGACGTTGGTATTTTGAGATTGCCATTGCGCATGCGAAGCGGGAAAATGATCTTTCATTTCCGCTAGTAAGGCGCCGAGACCTAAGTTGACAAAGGTGTCGTCGAAATCAGGAGGAATCATAAATGCTTGAAGATAACCTGATCTGAAAAAAGAACAATATATCATGTACAGAAACTAGTTATCTAGCTTCTGAAATCAAATCCTTTAATATTCATTTCTTTTTTTTCTTTTGTTTGTTTGTTTTGTGTGTGTGTGTGTGTGTGTGTGTGTGCGTGCGTGCGTGCGTGCGTGCGTGTGTGTGTGTGTTTGGTTTTACAGCGCAAAAACACAATTTATGTCATATAGCGCCGAAATAGGGAAGATGAATTTGTCTAACCTTGGGTGTTACAAACTCAAAGCAACACCATTAGCCAAAACCACCTCACCTGCTGGAGCTAAGAGATGCATAGACTTCAGTAATTTTAACTCACTTAGTCGCCTCAGAGACAAACGGTGTATGCAATTCTGATGCCCATACGCTTAATGACAACCCCTCAATCACAAGCGGGGATGGGTTTTATAAATAATGCATATATTTTGAGATAGAATGGCCCCTTAATTATACAATTTTTCTTTTTTACTGTTCGTTTGTAAGTTTGGTAAAATTTGTCTTTACTTAATTAAAAAATTATTTACGGTTTCTGCAATGAAATTGGTTATTCATGACAAATAATAGAATGAATATACTCACTCGCTTTTTAGTAAACGTTCCATAATCTCAGCAATGTCTTTTAGTCCAACTTTGTCTAGTATTTCTTCCAGTGTTGTGGCATTAAAAGAGGCCGCCAGATCAAAGAAATGATGTAAATTTAGCGGGTAACTGGACCAAGCTTTGAATGTTGCGTTGTATTTTTGCGGCCAAAATGTCATCAGGGAATTTGAATAATTAACATTTTTATTGTGATATTCTTCAATCGATAATATGGCTGCTGTAATCATCTCTTCGGAAGGCTTCGGACCGTTTCCGTATCTGAACGTCTCCAGCAAACATGACGTAATCCATGCTGTCGCAAACATGTTATCGTCATATATGCTGAACGCTTCCCGGAACAAAAATAGCTCCTCGTGCCCGTGAAAATAGAATCTGACGTCACTTTCCCACATTCCTCGATGTTTTTGCCAGAACATTGGCGGGATATATGGCGTGTCTTGCTTCACTTGTAACGATTCTACCCTCCGAAATAACGATTCAACCGTTGATTTGATATCAGAAACGCCGTCAGAATTATAGTCGGCGTTTACGGCAATTAATCCAATATATGATAACGTTACGAACGTAACGAAAAACGTAACGTTCATATTTCAAATGACCGTACGTGGGTACTGAGTATTGTAAACTGGCCAGAAGACGGGTGTGAAGAGTTTAAATAACTCAAGCTGGTCGAATTAGAGGACGGTATCTGGTGATTCTCTTGACAACGCTAGAACGTTATCGCCGTCTCTAGTGATCATCAGTACTACATGTATTCTATGGTGGATAAGTTACGCCATCTAACCTAAACTTTTACTTATTGAAATCATATTTACTTTGGGCCCGTTCTAGTTCACGCACGTATTGAAGAGACTTTTACGCTGCGAAATATACATACTTAAACGTAATATTTTTTAAACCTAATAATATTGGTAAAACATTATTTAACGTTATATTTTTAAACATAACATAATTTAACGACATACTTTTTAACCTTTAGGTATTGACATTTTTGCCAACTCCTTACCATATCAGTCCGTACTGTAGTGTAACATCTCAACAAAAATATTAATGTTTACGTAAACTTGTATTCATGTACTGAATACGACAGTAATGTACTTCATAATTAAACAAATGTATGACAATTTTAATACAAATTCTGAATGTGCAATCACCAACACAGTGATCTCCCCTTACACGATTAGCTCTGTGCTATAATTAAAACAGCCGAGGCGTAACTGGTGCACGGTGTTTGTTGATAGTGTGGTATTCAGGTGAATACTAATATTACGTGACACGGGTAACCTGTTCGTGGCAACCCAGTATTTCTTTTCTTGAAAATGTAACAAGCGTCCAAAAATAGCCAGACCGAAGTGAAAATACTGCCGTTGAAGCCAGAAATGTATTTTCGAGGTGTCGATGATAAATTTACAACGTCTCTTTTATTATTTTCTTTATTCGTATCGAACCTTATCCAGAATTTAGAAATTAAACTATCATTAACAAGTACATGTGTTACTTTTTTCTAATGACAGAACAGATATAAATGCGGTAAGTGCATAGATAAAACTGCATATTTGACACTAAACAAGATTCACTACGACTAATTATTGTAAATTCGCATTGGATAGGTGGACTTTGTTTGATTTTAAATTAAATTTACTTAGTGTCATTAAAAAATGTTTCTTCGATGCACCTATTGTATTGATAACTTTTTTTTCAACATTGAGGAAATAATTATTATTACAAATGAAAGTAAAAAGGCTTATGCTACAGATACAAATACCTACATATTTATGAAAATTATACAATAGAATTTGTTAAATCATTTTTCGCTTAAAAATATGATATAGTAACATTTTAAAATGGGTAATACGGTGTGGGTTCTTAGCTTATTGCTCAAGAAAACCACGACACCCCTGTCGGAAATATATAATATTTACATTACTAGTCTGACACGTTTGATATCAAAAGTAATTGTGTAAAAACAACACTGCACCTCCACCCTGCTGTAACCGAATTGATTTAACCAGTATAGAGGCAAGCCAGGATGATCAGTCTGATATACTGTTGGCTGACAAACCTTTTTTTTTAATTTAAATTATCTTGATAATGAGACAGTTCCAAAGATGGAACATTGAAAAGTTCAATTCACAACTGAGGATTACGCTTGTAAATCTGCACTGTTTTAGAAGTTTAAGCACTGCCGATGTAACGCTGTAAATTGACCTCCCCTCCATATATAAAATAGTGACCCCTTCTGTAAAATACTGACATATAGTAAATAAACAAACCTTTTTTTTACAAATGTGCAAATATAGTTGTAAGTCAAGTAACGAAAGAATAAACATTTATAAAACTCGTAAGACATGATTCAATATTGTTAAAAAAAAACAGGAAATGAATACATTCTATCTAAAATGATTTGGGAATAAACTCATAATGATAATACACTCAAAAGCAGGTTCGAAGTTGAAAAACTGTTAATATAAGCTTAACGCCATAACCACTGCACTTATTCAGCTTTACATTAACTTTATTTTAATAAAATACAGCTCAAATGACGTTGATATTCTACCGCATTTGTTGGCACAGATCACAGCTATCTTTAAAGAACTTGCTTCATTTTGCCAAAAAAAAAAGAAGCTTAAAGATATTTTCCATTGACAAAATTGCCTATGGTAGTTTTCAAAACTAAGAAGAATCGCACACTTTTTATTGATGTTGACATTTAGATTTGTTTGCTTCCTCCCTCATAAGTGGACATATAAGCATCATATGTGTACCATGTGTGCAGTGTAATGTAAGCATTGTTGATCTTGTCTCATTAAAAAAAAATGCAATTGACAGTACAATATTTCATTTTCTGGACTATAAAAAAGCACTTTCGGCATGGGAAAGGATGTTTAATGTCTGCCTGGAAGTGATGTCAAAAATTCGTTATATTTTATGATCAATAAGATACTCATATATCATGTATATACCCCCCCCCCCAAAAAAAAAAAAAAAAAAAAAATTAGGCGAAGTGATGATTTTGACAGCTTGATAGCTTTATTACCTTTGAGCATAAAATTGTAAGTCAAAATTAAGAACAAACAAGGGTTGCAGTCGTATGACATATCCATAGCCGTTAAAATCATTTGTAGAAAATTCTATTTATCTTTATGTATAGATCAAATCCATTTATAGTCTCCTTCAGACTGAGGCTAGGCTTCGGTTAAAGTAGCTATCTTCGAGAGTTTCCGTCCAATTGAAGTGGACAGATTTGGTCAAATTGTTGCACGGACGTACGGACACACACGGACAAGTGACATTACCATATTTCTCATCTGAGGATAATTATATTGACAGTGTATCTTGAAAGTGTCCAGTAAGGGCTTTTATAATTAAAGTTGGCGGTGGTGTCATAACTGGACTCTTTCAAAGATACACTGTCAATATAATTATCCTCAGATGAGAAATATGTTATGCCACTTGTCCCCGTGTGAACGTACGTCCGTGCAACACTTTGGTGTAACGTTGTAAACAGACACCCATAATGGGTGTCAGTTTACAACGTTACACCGACTGCTAAAGTTGAATTCATTTTAAATTGCAGCTTCTCTATTACAAGTAGGTTAGTGGAGTAAACAAAGTCAGTCATGGCAAAAACTGTCATCAGGTATGCATTTAATGCATATAAAACGTTTTTTACACGTTCAGAATTTTTTTTTGCAGGAATATAATAGTTCTATTATATATATATGATGTAAAGTAGAAAACAACTAAAATTCTGAACAGATCATACTAGACATTGTATTTAAGCTTTTTTTAAAAATTCGTAGGGAACTTTATAGGTCGAAAACTGATTTCCGCTTGGTTTATGTTACTACAGTTGTAAATATATAAATTTACGCGACCTTGTGAAAATATACAAATCATGTATTATTCATGCAGTGCGAACCTGGAATGGTTTCCTATGGTGGAGTATATAGGACTTAAAAATCCTATCTTAAGGATCAAGCGGGGGCGGGGGGATGGTCAGGAGGAGGAAGTCGTTTCGTTTCCGGACAGTCTACAGGATTTGCAGAATTTATCGCATTTTTAGTATCCTTGATATCAGATTCATCCAAAAGATGTTAGTGGAACGATCTTACAGTATATATCATTGTTTATGAAAAGGTGAATGGATCATTGACGTTGAAAACAACAACTACTTTCTTCAGATGCCAATTCATTTAATTAACAAATCCACACATGGAATAAATAGCATAGCAACCTTATAGAAAATGGCAATTACTGAGTACAAGACATTTTGTTTTCGCTATATCAATAAATAAATCAGTTTTCCCCCACCTCTAAAAACGACCATGTCCATTTATGCTCACTCTTTGGCTTGTTTTGCATTCTTTGTAGTTCAGAATTGACCCATCTGTCCACTTTCTGCACAATTTCTGTATCGTTCTGTACTAGTACGCCCTCTCCTATTGTCGTTAAAGGTTTCGTTATTTCTGAGGGTTCGTATCTATTCACAATCTTTTTAAGCAAGTATTTTCTGCCAGTGATAGCGAACTGCCACGCTTCATCACTGCCGTAATCGTCTGTCATATTTAGATCAGATGCAGCTTTCTTTATTGTTTTATAAATAGGATCGGCCAGAAGATCATTAATATAAAGTATAATTTCGCTGAATCAGATACGCTTTGTCAGTGGTTTAGCCAGACGTGTTTGTGACCGAGGCAAATTATGGGGTATGGGGCATGTTCCCCCGTAATAATTTTTACCTAGCATGTCTTTGATTTGTTTTGGAACACTCTGGAACAAGCTTTTTGCATTATAAATCTTATCATCTGTATACTCGTACCATTTAATAAATTTTACATGTATGTTTTGGAAAACAAATAAAACAATGTTGATTTGAATTTTGTTTTAGAATTAATTTGTTTCTGGTTTGATATACAGCTAGCCAATCGTCTAGGAATGTTGCTAGACGTATATTCTAACGATGTAAATGTGCTGTTACTGTAGCAACAATTTTTATAAAAACCTTTGGACTCACTGTTGGGCCGAAGCAAAGAGCTTGAAATTGATAATCCTGATTTTGGAAAAAACAAAAAACGATTAAAAGGAAGAAATTTGCGATGTCCCTTGTAAATCTTGATGTGAAAATAAGCATCTTTTAAGTCTAATGTCCATACTTGTTCAGATGCCTTTGATTTATCACCGGTCTCATTTCCCCATTTTTCCTTTGATACTAGGAATAAAGTGCTGTAAAACCGGCATGTGCAATGCTTTTGTCTACTTTTTCGATATCTTTCTTTTCCAAATGATTTTCGTTTTCTAAAGCTAGAAGATTTTTTTGAGAAGATGGAACTCGAGTTTCCTTTATTCCATTGAAACATTCTAGCTTGTAGCCGTATTAAATGATTTCTAGCACCCATTTGTCTGTTGTTATATTTTTCCAATCTTGAAAAAAGTGAGACAAACGGCTTCCGACAGGTATTTCTGGAAACTTCGCAATAACACTTACCGTGTCATTTCTAAATTGTATTCTACTTGAACTCACTCTGGGAAAAGTTCCTTAATAGCTATAACTTTGTTTTTCCTATTTTCCAAGTTAGAATTAGTTGCACACTTCTCAGTGGAAAGTTAGAAATAGTGTCTCTATCCCTAAGTTTAAACAAGTAAGTGCCTTCTTTTTATATGGTGAAAAAACATTCTAAACATTTTGTTGATATTG